CGTTTTACAATGTGACTGACGGGTCCCTTCTCTTCACCTTCATGGACATCTTCTCCGGGACGCTGCGCCCGTATTTCTATCTTGGTCTCCGTCCTGGACGCACCAACGCGGCTCCCCTGACCATCTGCCGGGTCCTGGCCAGTGGACGCAGTGAGGAGAGGCGAGCTCAGCAGCAAGAGCAGAGCAATTTGCCCATCTTGGCTGAGGCAGAGGGGAGGGAGGAGGAGACACCTCTCTGCTCCAGCGAGGCTGGGAACACCCCAAATGGTCCCTGCTAGCGCTGGCCCGGCCCTGCCCAAACTGGCTGGCAGCTCCACCCTCGTTGGCCCTCCTGGGGAAATTGAGGCTGCGGGGGTCGATCTTCCGGTGTGCAACTGAGCGGCTCTAGCGAGGACCTGACTATTGGGTCCCTCAGGGGCACTTCCTCAGCCCAGCTGGGGAAAGCAGCAAAAAGTCCACCCCTTCTGTCACGTTACTGGATCTTGAGGGGAGCAGCCAGATCACTGCTGCACCCCTAGGTGGGGGTGTTGGCCCCAAGAATGGTATAGGAGGGGGCCATGTGAGGTGCTGAATAGAAGCTACTGTTTGCTGATCCTGTGTACGCTATTTATGAGAGTGTATAATGTCTGTGTGAGTAGGTAGGAATCTGTAATCTGTGTGGAAGACATACCCAAGCTGATTTGGGGGAGATAATGGGGGGGGGCAGGAGCCCAGTCATAGGGGTGGCAGCCTCTCCCCTGTGCCTGAGATGAGGCCCTTCTCTGGGTCCCAGGGGTTGTATTTTTATTTCTCTTGGGGGTTATGAGGCAGGCAGGGAGAGTGAAATGCTCCGGCGTTTCCCCTGGGCTGGCCTGAGGCCTTGCGGGTGGTCCTGGGGCCCCAGGGGCAGCCCGACCCCAGAGGCGGGACAGAACCGATCCAGGACTGGCTGGCAAAGTGAAATACGCCCCAATGAAGCACAGAGGTGCCTGGGGAAAGCAGGCAGCTGTCCAGGGTGGGCTGCCGGTTACGGCAAAGCGCAGGGGAGAGCGGTGAGGAGTCCCAGGCTGAGCGTAAGAAAGGGAGGGGACGGGGTGGCTGCCCAGAGAACGCTTGGTGGGTCTGCAGCAGGGGGAATGGACCACCGTGCCCGGGACTGGTCAGACACCCAGGCCAGGAGAAAGACAGAGTCTCAAGGTCGGTTTCTCTCAGTCCTTGCTGGAGTGCGGGGGAGATTTCTGCAGCAGACGCACTGCGGTGACTGCTCATAGGAGTTAGCTTTTTTAAAAAAAATCCAAATAAACCTTCTCCCCAAAACTGTCATAAAATCACCTTTTGCTAACTTCCCTTGCGAGTCCCAAAAATGGGGCGGTGTGATTTGTGCCTCACTTTGCCATGGGACGGCGTTGGAGAAGGCTGTACCTGGGACACGGGTTAATTTAATAAACGCCGCCCCCGCCAGCTGTCTGAAACGCTCGAGTTCGTCTGCAACAGGAAAAAACTGTAAAACCCAGACTAGTAGCCCCATACAGATGAGCAAAACGTGTATCCAAAGTGACTCTGCCGCGCGAAGCACTGACAGGGAGATTGGCGGAAAGAAAACGTCGATACCTGATTCTCCACCGTGACGTCTGTGTCGAGGGCTCTGAGCCGGGTCCAGCAGAGCCCGCCCCCCTCGGTGAAATACACGGCCACCTCCTCGATGGGCACCGGCACCCGGAACGACAGGACACAAGGCCGTCGCTCCACACCTGCTGATCCAACCGCAAACCGACGGGGCCCCACAAGGCTCCTCGCACCCAGATTTCGGTTTGCTCGGCGTGATGTGCATCACACCCGCCCCCGGTTAGAGTCACCTCCTGGCTGGGCCCTTCCCACATGGGGAACCCGCCTGGGGGAGCCAGAGTCCTCCTCCTGCCAAATCGAAGCACATGTGTCTACTTCAAACGCCCTGTTAATGCTGGTGACAGGCAGCTGCATCCAGCTGGCGTCTGCTCTGCCTTTCAGTCCCACCGTGGGCCTGTGGCTTTTTCCCTCTCTCCTCCCATGTTTGCGCCCCCCCCCCCGTGCTTGCTCCATGTGACCTGACCCCAGACAAGCTGATTACAACAGGGGAACATTTAACACCCTTTAGCAATGCAGGAGCAAACTGTATTTGCACAGACACCTCCCCGCACAGTCCTTCCAATCCTGCCTACACCTACAAGCCGGGGAGCTTCTGGGTCTGTAATTGCCCAGTGGTTTTGTTAGGTAGCCTGGTGCTTGTTTGGAGGCTTTCCTGGGTTGTGGCTTCTGTTTACTGATTACAACAGGGGAACATTTAACACCCTTTAGCAATGCAGGAGCAAACTGTATTTGCACAGACACCTCCCCGCACAGTCCTTCCAATCCTGCCTACACCTACAAGCCGGGGAGCTTCTGGGTCTGTAATTGCCCAGTGGTTTTGTTAGGTAGCCTGGTGCTTGTTTGGAGGCTTTCCTGGGTTGTGGCTTCTGTTTATTTTAATTCCTCCCGGGCGACTGTGATTGGCTTCTGGTTGTGCAATTCCTTAAAAAAAAAAAAAAGGAAAGTGAAACCAATCCACAGCGGCCAGTGCCCTTGTGCGGAGGGGTCATGGCTGCCGGGGACCTGGCCGGGAGCTTCCAGGACGAGGTGACGTGTCCCCTCTGCCTGGAGTATTTCACAGACCCGGTGTCTATCGAGTGCGGGCACAACTTCTGCCGGGCCTGCCTCAGCCAGTGCTGGGGGGAGTCGGAGCCCAACCCTTCCTGCCCCCAGTGCAGAGAGACCGCCCCACAGAGACACCTGCGGCCCAACCGCCCGCTGGGCAACCTGGTGGAGCTGGTGAAACGCCTGCGGCTCCCGGCGGGGCCAGCGCCCGAGGGGCAGCCAGGGTGCGAGAGGCACCAGGAGGCCCTGAAGCTCTTCTGTTGGGAGGATCAAGCCTCCATCTGCGTGGTCTGCAGAGAGTCCCGGGAGCACCGTGCCCACACGGTGATGCCCATCGAGGAGGCAGTCCTGGAGTACAGGGTACGGACCACGGCGGGGACTGGGGCTTGGTGTACACTGTGGAGTTAGGGGGATGTAAGGCAGCTCAAATCGGCAGCAGAGATCGGCCCCCAATCCCGCAGTCCCTGCGGTGGCAGGATCAGGAGCATCCTGGCTCCACTGCCCTCTCCCAAAATCCCCCAGACCCCTACTGTCTGTGGGACTGTTGAGGCATCTACCGTGCGGTCCCCAAAAGTGTCTGCCCTGAGCCATCCCCCGACATCACCACTTTTCCCCTTCGCTCTGCCCTTTGTGCCCGGCAGCCACAGCTCACATGGAAGGTGGCCCTCCCAGGCACCTGACTCCCTCATGGGCCAGTTGACCTGTCAGTCAGGCTGACCTGAGCATTGACCTCTCCTCATCGATTGTCAGTCTCAGGATCTCGATTTCTCATTAGTCCTACGTCTGCTTTTGCTGCAAGCCGCGAGCCAGCCAGAAACCTCCCAACCTTTCAGCCCTTTACCTCTGGGTCTGGAGTGCGGGGCAGGGACGTTCCGGCCCTAGCTCCTCGCACCCACCGGCTGGAGGGACCATCCAGGAGCTCCCCAGCTATTTCCCCTCTGGCCCGTGACACCTGCACTAACACACGGAGGTGGAGTTGCCCTGAGAGGCTGCAGGAGGTAGAGCTCGTTCAGAGCCGAGCAGCTGCCTCCTTCCAGGCCAGGTCCCTGCGTGCGTGGAAGGCCGGTGTGTACGGCGCTCGCCGCCCCTCGGACAGGCAGATAACGGCTGTTTGTCGCCCACGATGCCCTGCAGGAGAAACTCCAGGGGGCCCTGGGCCCGCTCAGAGAGGAGCTGGAGGAGACCCTGCTGCTGACATCTAAAGAGGAGGAGAAAACCACGGAGTGGCAGGTGGGTGCCTGGGTTTCTCTCCCGCAGCCTTTCCCCCAGGGCAGGGGCGATGAAGCTGAAAGCTCCAGGATGAGGCTATGAAGCTCCTTTGGTAGGTCAAAGCTAGCTGGGGCGTGTCTGCAGCAGGGACACCCCTGGAGGGATCAGAACCAGGGTGGGGGGAGGGCGGTGGAAATCCAGCCAGAGCTTGGCCACTTCACAGCCTCTGCTGCCATCTCCTGGCCGCCTCATCCCGGTCACCGGCTGCTGCTCCTTTTTAACATTTAAAAGGCCGCAGAGCAGTTTTTAAACTAAGGGCTGGGGGAAAGCCGATTGGTGCAGAGGAGCACGTGGATCGGACAGAGACGTCTCTTAGAGGAGGGTCCATTGTCCAAAATTCTCTATGTTTAGTCAGGAGGAGAGGATGGAAGAGGATAAAGTATGGGCCAGATCAGACGAGAAACATTCACATCAAAAAATCTGACACATCAGAAAAGGGCAGACAAACAGTGGCAAGCTTTTTAAAGTGCTTGTACACAAATGCTAGAAGTTTAAATAAGAAGATGGGTGAATTAGAGGGCCTAGTTTTAAAGGAGGAGATTGACATAATAGGCATCACAGAAACCTGGTAGAGTGAGGACAATCAATGGGACCCCATCCATCCGGGATACAAAATATACCGGAAGGACAGAACAGGTTGTGCTTGGGGAGGGAGGGGTGGCACTATACGTAAAAGAAAATATAGAATCAAATGAAGTAAAAATATTAAATGAATCAATATGTTCTATAGTATCCCTCTGGATAATAATTCCCTGCTCTAATAAGAATATAACGGTAGGGATCTATTATCGACCACCTGACCAGGACAGTGATAGTGATGATGAAATGCTAAGGGAGATTAGAGAGGCTATCAAAATAAAGAACTCAATAATAGTGGGAGATTTCAATTATCCCCATATCGACTGGGTACACCTCACCTCAGGACGAAATGCAGACACAAAATTTCTCGATACCTTAAACGACTGCTTCTTAGAGCAGCTGGTGCTGGAACCCACAAGGGGAGAGGCAATTCTCGATTTAGTCCTGAGTGGAGCGCAGGATCAGGTCCAGGATATAACCGTTACAGGACCGCTTGGGAATAGTGACCATAATATAATAACATTTAATAGTCCTGCGGTGGGAAGAACACCTCAGCAGCCTAACCCTCTGGCATTTAATTTCGGAAAGGGGAACTGGGCAAAAATGAGGAGGTTAGTTAAACAGAAATTAAAAGCTACAGTGAAGTAAAATCCCTGCAAGCTGCATGGACACATTTCAAAGGCACCATAATAGAGGCCCAAATTAAATGTCTACCCTAAATTTAAAAATTCAGTAAAAGAACCAAAAAAGAGCCACCGTGGCTTAACAACCATGTAAAAGATGCAGGGAGGGATAAAAAGGCATGTTTTAAAAAGAGGAAGTCAAATCCTAGTGAGGAAAATAGAAAGGCGCATAAACACTGCCAAATTAAGTAAGTGTAAAGATGTAATAAGAAATGCCAAAAAGGAGTTTGAAGAACAGCCAGCCAAAAACTCAGAAGGTAATAACAATAATAATTAAAAAAATGTTTTTTAAGTACATCAGAAGCAGGAAACCTGCTAAACAACCAGTAGGCCCCCTGGATGACTGAGATACAAAAGGAGCACTTAAAGATGATAAAGTCACTGCGGAGAAGAACATAATTTTGTGGGCAAAAGTCAACATGGTTTCTGCAAAGGGAAATCATGTTTTACTAATCTATTAGAGTTATTTGAAGGGGTCATCAAACATGTGGACTAGGGGGATCCTGTGTATGTAGTGTACTTAGATTTCCAGAAAGCCTTTGACAAGGTCCCTCACCAAAGGCTTTTTCGTAAATTAAGTTGTCATGAGATAAGAAGAAAGATCCTTTCATGGATTGAAAACTGGTTAAAAGACAGGAAACAAAGGGTAGGAATAAATGGTAAATTTTGAGAATGGAGAGGGGTAACTAGTGGGGTCCTCCAAGGGTCAGTTTTAGGACCAATCTTATTCATAAATGATCTAGAGAAAGGGGTGAGCAGTGAGGTGGCAAAGTTTGCAGACAATACTACACTGCTCAAGGTAGTTAAGACCAAAGCGGGCTGTGAAGAGCTTCAAAAAGATCTCACCAAACTAAATGATCGGGCAACAAAATGGCAAATTAAATTTAATGTGGATAAATGTAAAGTAATGCACATTGGAAAAAATAACCCCAACTATTCATACAATATGATGGGGGCTAATTTAGCTACAACTAATCAGGAAAGAGATCTTGGAGTCATCGTGGATAGTTCCCTGAAGACGTCCAAGCAGTGTGCAGCGGCAGTCAAAAAAGCAAACAGGATGTTAGGGATTGTTAAAAAAGGGTTAGAGAATAAGATGGAGAATATCTTATTGCCTCTATATAAATCTATGAGACACCCACAGCTTGAATCCTGCGTACAGATGTGGTCTCCTCATCTCAAAAAAGATATACTGGTATTAGGAAAGGTTCAGAGAAGGGCAACTAAAATGTTGAGGGGTTTGGAATGGGTCCCATGTGAGGAGAGATTAAAGAGACTAGGACTTTTCAGCTTGGAAAAGAGGAGACTAAGGAGGGAGAGGAGAGAGGTCTATAAAATCATGAGTGGGGTGGAGAAAGTGAATAAGGAAAAGTGATTGACTTGTTCCCATAAAATAAGAACTAGGGGCCACCCAATTAAATTAATGGGCAGTAGGATTAAAAAAATAAAAGGAAGTTCTTCACACAGCACAGTCAACCTGTGGAACTCCTCGCCTGAGGAAGTTATGAAGGGTTTAACAGGGTTTAAAAGAGAACTAGATAAATTCAGGGAGGTTAAGTCCATCAATGGCTATTAGCCAGGGTGGGTAAGGAATGGTGTCCCTCGCCTCTGTTTGTCAGAGATGGAGATGGAGGGCAGGAGAGAGATCGCTTGATTGTTCCTGTTCGGTTCCCTCCCTCTGGGGCACCTGGCATTGACCACTGTCGGCAGGCAGGGTACTGGGCTGGATAGACCTTTGGTCCGACCCAGTCTGGCTGTTCTTATGTTCTCCTGTGACCTTGTCTGTAGCTGGGGGATGAACCCCTGGGGCAAAGTGTCCATTCTGGTTCCCCTGCTTGTTACAGCAAGATCCCCACTGAGTGTGTAGGGGTGTGAGGAGGCCGCTGGCTGGGCGTGGGGCACGTGGCCAGGCTGGGTGAGGCCAAAGACAGCCCTGGCAATGCCGCGAGGGCCCAACACCCATGAGAGCCCTGGACGGCACCCACAGGGCAGACGACACCTGCCCTGCATCCCGAACATGGCAGCCCCGGGAGTGGGTTCTCAGGAATGAGCATCAGAGCTCTCCATGGTGTGTCAATACCCAGCCCTGGGCACCCCAATCCTCCCACAGATGCCCTGTGCTGCCCCCTGTAAATCTCTCCTGTTCCTTCGATTTCTTCTCACTCCCCCGTGTTCATCTCGTGCCACCTGCAATAACAGACTGCAGCTTTACCTGGCACCCTGGACAGCCCTGCCACGAGACTGGCCCTGTTCAGTCGGAGCTAAACATACCCTTTATGGTACGTTTCCCAGACTTCACGCTGACCTCACCTTCCCTGCCTCACGGCAGAGGCCCCGTCTGTAACTCGGCACTGGCCTGTGGGTTCCTCTCTCCCTTCCTGTCTCCAGAGGAAAGTGCAGGCGAAGCGGGAGACGATTGCCGCTGAATTTAACAAGCTGCACGCGCTGCTGAGGGCGGAGGAGCAGCTGCTTCTGCAGAGGCTGGCGGAGGACGAGCGGGCGACCCTGCAGAGGCTCCAGGAAAACGTCGCCAAACTCTCCCAGCAAAGCGCCTCTCTGCAGCGGCTGATCGCAGAGATCGAGGAGAAGTGTCAGCAACCGGCTGCCCAGCTGCTGAAGGTGAGACGGCGTCAAAACGCCATGTCTGGCCAGAATTACCGCTCGGATCTGTCGGCCTGGATCCCAAGAGTCTACACTGCACAGTTATTTCAGAAGAAGCTAATCCGGAATAGTTAGCTTATTCTGAAACAACACGTCTACACTGAGGGGAAGCCTCCAAGTGAGTCCGAAACTGATTTCCCTCATGTAGATGTGCTATCTCGATGTAGAACAACAGGAGGAATAACATAGAATGACTCTGGGGAGGGGTTATTTTGAAGTAGCAGCAGTGGTGCATCTACACACACCGTAGTTCGAAAGAGCTATTTCGGAAGAGGAGTTATTCCTTGTAAAATGAGGTTTGCAGAAGTCGGAATAAGCTGTCCAGTATTTCGAAATTATTTCAAAATAATGGAATGGCTGTGTCGACGCTCGCATCATTATTTCGGAATAGCAGCCGTTATTCTGAACTAATGTAGCTGTGTAGACGCACCCTTAGGCTGTGTCTACACTGGCAAGTTATTCCGGAAAATCAGCCGCTTTTCCGGAAAAACTTGCCAGCTGTCTACACTGGCCGCTTGAATTTCCGGAAAAGCACTGATGATCTAATGTAAAATCATCAGTGCTTTTCCGGAAAAACTATGCTGCTCCCGTTCGGGCAAAAGTCTTTTTCCGGAAAACTGTTCCGGAAAAGGGCCAGTGTAGACAGCACAGTAGTGTTTTCCGCAAAAAAGCCCCGATTGCGAAAATGGCGATCGGGGCTTTTTTGCAGAAAAGCGCGTCTAGATTGGCCACGGACGCTTTTCCGCAAAAAGTGCTTTTCCGGAAAAGCGTCCTGCCAATCTAGACGTGCTTTTCCGAAAATGCTTTTAACGGAAAACCATGAAACTCCAGGGACCCGAAGAAAGCCCCCGGGACATCAAGCTGTTTGGTGCCAGGCTGTCATTTACTGACAGAACATTGGACCATGGGCTCTATCGGTTCCAAACAGCTACACAGCGCTTATTTCAAGATAGCAATTTTAAAATTGGCGCTATTCCTCCTGGAATGAGGTTTACCAATTTCAAAATAAGCCCTCCACTATTTTGAATTAATTTCGAAATAGCAGTTGGCTTGTGTGGATGCTAGGAAAGTTATTTTGAAATAACTTTGCTGTATAGACGCACCCTTAGAGTAACTGTCGTTTACTGATAGTACACTGGACCACAGGCTCTATCGGTTCCAAACGGTACAGTTCGTGGAGGAGGGGATTTCTGACCAGGGAGACCACGGGCAATTAAATGGATGCCACAGAACGACGGAGCCCGGGAGGGTGAATCCGTTCCCTGTACGAAAGGCTGCTGCCCGGATGGGGAATCGCTCCGGTTTATGCCCACCGTGTTCACACAGAGCACTGCTTCTCTTTCTCCTTTCAGGACGTGACAAGCATGTTGAGCAGGTGAGTGTCCCATTTCCGCTGCCCCTGTGTTTTTGGTGGGGGCCCAGCACGGCACAGCACAGCTGAGTGATGCCGGGACGTTTGCTTCCTAGGAGTGAAAACATGAAACTCCAGGGACCCGAAGTCGTGTGCACCGACCTGAGAAATGGGTATAAGATGTGTCTGGACCTGAGGGAAGCGCTGAACAGATTCGCAGGTGAGTGAAGCCCCCGGGACATCAAGCTGTTTGGTGCCAGGGGCTCTGGGCAGAGCCTGGAGCCAGGTGGTGGCTGGAGGCCTACGGGCCCCTCGTCGGCCCAGCGTGAGGCTGGGTCAGGGATCTGCTGAGTGTCACTGTCTGAGCTGCTCTCATCCCAACCTTCCCCACAGCCCCACGTGGAGACTGGGGGGCAAAGGCAGAGACATGGCAGTGAGGGCCCCACTCCTCCCCTCATGCCCTGTTGCCCCCGGATCCTATTCCTCCCTTCACCCTACTGTCCCCTTATGCCTGCTCCTCTTCCCCCCCATTACCTCTAACTGCTCCCTCCCCTGAGTGCCTGTCACCTGCTCCTCCCCCCCTGCTCTTGGCCTCAGTCCCCTCACTGGCATAGGGGCCCTGACTCCCCTCAGACAACCCTCCTCCCCGTGCAGTAATTAACAGGGGGGGCAGGTAAATTTCCCACTGACTCCAGGGATCAGCCCCTGCCCCTGACTTTGTCTCTCTCTCCCCAGTGGACGTGACTCTGGACCCAGACACGGCTCATCCCAAACTCATCCTGTCTGCAGGTCGGAAATGTGTGAGACGTGGAACCACGCGCCAGGATCTGCCCGACACCCTGAAGAGATTTGACACTTGTCCCTCTGTCCTGGGTGCCGAGGGGTTCGCGGGTGGGAGGTGTTACTGGGAGGTGGAGGTGGGGGACAAGACAGGCTGGACTCTGGGGGTTTGTAAGGAGTCTGTGCGCAGGAAGGGGAAGGTCGCAGCATCCCCTAAGAACGGATACTGGGCTGTGGTACTGAGGGAAGAGGGATACAAGGCCCTCACCTGCCCCGGGACCTTCCTCCCCGTGAGCACCAGGCCCAGCCGGGTGGGGATTTTCCTGGACTACGAGGCGGGCGAGGTTTCATTTTACAATGTGACGGACAGGTCCCATCTCTTCACCTTCGCCTGCACCTTCTCCGGGACGCTCCGCCCGTATTTCAAGCCTGCTCGCAAAGCTGCTCCCCTGACCATCTGCCCAGTCCCGGCTCAGGCTGGAGGGAATCGCCACGTGGCCAGCTGAGGCGGCGCTAGGTTGTGTTTCCACAGGGGCTGCGCCATGCAGGGTCAATGGGAGACGGTCTACCGTCAACTCCCCTGATCTTCCTATTGGGGTAAAGCACCGGGGGCAACTGCAAAGCGACCTGCGCACCATTTGGTGGATCTTCATTGCACCCACTATCTGCTGCCGGGAGGTAGGTTGATCTCAGAATCTGGATCTGGGCTGCAGTCTTGGTCTTCACAACATCCTCAAGCAAGGAGTTCCGCAGGTTGACTGTGCTCTGCATGAAGAAAAACTTCCTTGGGTTTGCTTTAAAACTGCTGCCTATTAAACTTGCTGTAGTATGAGCATGTTAAATGCAATCATTCAATTCTGAAGATTGTTGCAATCTGTATTTACCTTGGTTATTTAGAGCACAAAGAAAATAAAACGTATACAAGAAATTCATCCAGATGGCTCCGGGTTTCACCTACCACTGTCTGGGAAGCTCTGATAATAGTGACTGATTGGTCTGATTACTTGAGGGAGAGAATAGATCTAGAACAAGCAGAGGATGGGGGGAGGGTAAGACGTACAACGTGGCTTTGTTAGAACAATTTTCATTCCGTTTTCCATCTGATGTCGTGAACGTTTTCACAGCAATAATCAAAGGTTCATTCACAATGTGAAGTTTCTGGCACAGTGCCCTACACTGACATAAGAACATCAGAATGGCCAGACAGGGTCAGACCAAAGGTCCATGCAGCCCAATGTCCTGTCTACCTTCAGTGGCCAATGCCAGGTGTCCCGGAGGAAGTAAACAGAACAGGAAATCATCAAATGATCCCTGCCCTTGATTTTTTAAAAATAAATACCCTAACCAATTATTTTTCTCAAATTTTATTAACCAATCCTAACTTACTGTAACAGAATTATCTCACCAATCATTCACTTCCACCTTGGTTGATTTGCACCTAGCATAATTAATTATATAGTAGATAATTAAAAAAACAGAGATCATGAAACAATAGGGACTTGGGGACCATTATGACATGGCTAAAAGAACCGAGGATTTCACAACCCCAACGACAGAGAAGGCATTTCTTGTCAGACAAAACGGTGTCAAACTACGTTTTTCTTTCCCTGTCTCGAAATCAGTTTCTTTATATGGCGATATTGGGTGCCATTTGGGTCTCCTTTTTCACAGCCTGATGGCCCGCTATTTTAATGTCATTTGGATGGAACGGGGATGTGAGTTCCTGCTGCTCGGCCAATAGCTGCTGCTCTTTCAGTCTGGCTATGGATGAAGGCCTTAGGTGTTAGCCTTCCAATATGGCTGCCCAAAGAGACCTTTGGGTCACACCCTCCAGTAGACCCCTTGCTCCTGATTTCTGAAAAAGCAGAGCGGAAGTGCTTTGTCCCTGCCAAGGGGCACGAGGACTTACATACCCCTCCAGCTCCAAACTCCCTGGCGCTAGACGTGGGGCCTATTCTGGCTGTGTTCTGGATGACGTCCCAAGTCCCTTTTTTGGACCAAAAGTACTTGGCTAATGAATGTCAAATCAGTTAATATTTATGGGACAACTGAACGTGTCTTTCCTGTTACTTCAAAGGGCTTGAGATAAAACCCTAGGGAACATTTGACTATTTCATCATGATGGTCTGGGTCTAACCAAGAGATTTCTTGTAAGTGGTCGCAAAGGGGCCTCCCCAAGATTGGACAAGCTTCTCGCACTTGTTGGTGAGTTTTCCTGTGGCTGTCTGAGACTATGTCTACAGGGCAGAGTTTTACCGGAAAAACTGTGCTGAGCGCAGGGAATGCGGCCGCTTTTTCGGAACAGTTTCTTTCGACATCCCCGCGTTCCTCATTTTATGAGGAATAAGGGATCTTCCAAAAGAGAAGGTTTTTCCAATATTTGGCGCAGTGTAGACAAGCCAAATATCGGAAAAGCCTCTTCCAACAAAAGATTCCTAAAAAGATGCACAAATTGTGGATCGTGATTTGCGTATCTTTTTCCAACAGAACTCTGCAGCTCGACTGAGTGCCTTTATCTCCATCCCCAAATGTCCCAGAGGGGGCTTTCTGATCCTGCTACTGATTTTGCTCTGTGCATTTTCCATCAGGAAGTGTGTGCTCTTACCTAATTGAAGGAGTTAAGAGCTTACTAAAAGATTTACAGCCTTATGTTGACACAAGCCCAGGAGATCTCTCTTGTACACAGATGGTGCCTGTTCCTCATTCCTGTTCACTTCTCTGTAATTCTGACTAACACAATAAGTTAATACCTGCCATTGTCTGTCCCATCACCTTTATCTGCCTTTCCTGATCCTTTCACCGAGTACCCAGAGATGAAGGAGAGTGC